TTCACTCTGCTTTCTTTCTCTTTATCAGCCTGGGTCAAATTGGGAGAAAGAAGACACGTGGTGATTTGAGCAGGAATGCTTAATATAAAGAACCATTATATGTAACTGGAGAGCGGAGTGACAAGGAATTGGTGACTAAGTAAAGGACACAGGAATAAGGAACAGCCTTTCCCCCTCACACAACCCCCAAGAAGGACCTTTTGCCCCGCCCAAGTCTAGGGCTAGAATCCAGATCTCTCTGGGCAGGGCACGGGCATGGCCTGGTGAGTGACAGAGAAATCCCTGTAGTGTAGTGCTAAGCAAACTTGTAGGAAACTTGATGGAAATCCATGCTTTAAGGTGTCTGGAAAGCTCTTCACAGGGAGATGTCTCCCTCCAGATATTCCACTACAAAATCACTGTAGGGATCCACCGTGCCCAATCATACCCACCATAACTGCTCCTGAGTAACCCTCCCTGGCCTGTTACCCCTGAGTAACCCTCCCTGGCTAGTTTCCCAGCCTAGGACAAATAGTCAAAACCAGTACAGTAGTATGTAAAACTTGAGGACCCAGACCCTGGCATCATCAGAGTAGGAAATGTGCCTGACATCCTTGACATTAGCTTGAGTTAAGCAAGGCACATTCCATCTTGGATGAAGCTACTTTGTCCTGACCACTACATAAACCCACTCCTTCAGACCCAAATGGCGGGGATGCACTGGTCCTGCTGCTGCACTGGACCACATTTCTGTCAGAACATCACCAATAAATTGTACTCTGTGTAACTTTGGGTCTGTGTGCCTCTTTCTTCAGACTCATGGTAACTAGGGACTGGTTTCCTACACCCTGGAGCCAGGCTGTTCCAGAACATGTGCCTGAGGAGTGATGAAAGTGTAAGCTGCTGACTCCTGGGCTCCTCTGCCTGCCATGCAGGCAGGCGCTGGGGGCTGGAGAAGCTACGTGCACTAAAGAGCCTGCCTGGGAAGCAGGTGAGATTAGGAAGCAAGATGCTTCTGCAGGGTCTCTCCAGTGCCCTTCTCTGGCAAAGCCTTCCATGGTGCCGCCTGACAAAGAAAAACTACTTAAAAGGCCCCGATCCATTTCCTTAGAGCACGCAATACAGAGTAAATTTATACCTGCAAGGCAAAAAATTGATAGCTGCCACATCCTCCAAGGCAAGAGTATTATTCCTTGCTGCATTTGGCTCCAGGAAAGTTTAATATTGTAATAAATATCTTCAACAAAAGTGCATAGTCTGTTGGGATAAATTCTTCTGAGAAGGATGCATAGGGGTGGTAAAAGGACCTTTCTAGGGGCTGGGGATTTAGCTCAGCGGCAAAGAGCCTGCCTAGCAAGCGCAAGGTCGTGAGTTCGGTTCCCGGTACCAGAGAAAAACCAAAAAAAAAAAAAAAAAAGGAACTTTCTAGATCTTGAGACCTACAGTGAAGAGCAGCAGCTGATGGCCTGTGCCCCCTCAGATGGGCACAGAACGAGGGAAGATAGGCTAAGATGTGCTACATCTGCTGCCAGTCTCTCAGGACACCTTGCTGTCCGTAAAATTTGATGATCTTGCCTGACTAATTTGGGAACATAATATAAACTTTGTATGCATGTTGTCTCCGCTGATGGAGGAGTGCCCCGTGGAATGTTATGCAACCATCAAACAGGTCATTGAAAAAAAAGAGTTCACTGTAAAATGGAAAAATGCTTGTCATAATCCTAAGTGAGAGAAAGTAGGGTGCAAGATTGTCATCTGTGAAACAAGTGACGTTACATAGAAATAAAGATCAGGAGGAAATACTCCTCAAGTCAGTGTTGTCTTTAGGTGGAATTAGAGTAATTTTTTCCTCTTATTATTATATTTCTGTGTTTTATATATTTGCTATAGTGACTGTTGTAGTCAGGGGTTTGCAAGCAGAACAATACAGGACACATAATTTATAGAATTATTTATAGTAGTCACCCAAAGGATCATACAAAGAGAGTGCAGGAAACCTGTCCACACACTAAAGACCCAAAAGAATCCAGCTGAGGGCCTGGATTCCACAGCAATGTCCTGCATGAGCCCAGCTAAAGGCCTAGAGCCCATGACAATGTCCTCCACGAGTCCAGCTGGAGCCCATGACGTGTCTCCTGCAAGTCTTTTTCATGGATCTGCATTAGGAAGGCCCAAAGGTCAGTGGTGGAAGCCAGAAAGTCTGTGCCAGTGAGATGAAGGACCTGTGCTAGCAGGCTGAGGGATCTGCACTGGAGCCAGGAAGCGATGCTCAAAGCAAGAACCAGAACTCTGGGCTTGACTTGTTCTTTCTCTAAAAGTTTGAGGTGCAGCATTAGGCTATTTACTTGTTCTTTTTCTGTTTTCCTGATATGTGAGTTCACTGCTATAAATTTCCTCTGAGGACCGCTTTCAGTGCATCCAACAGATTCCGGTAAGTTGTATTTACATTTTCATTTGTTTATAGGTATTGTTTAATTTCTTCTTTAATTTCATCTGTCACCCATTGTTCATTCAGGAGGTTGTTATTTAATTTCCTTATGTTTATGGAGTTTTGTGGTTCCTTTTGTCATTAATTTCTAATTTCATTGCACTGTGGTCAGATAATATGTATGGGATAATTTCAGTTCTTTTGCATTTAGATATGCTTGCTCTATGGGCTAGAATGTCGTCTTTTTTAGAGAATGTCCCATGGGCAACTGGGAAGAATGTGTATTCTGATAATGTGGGGTAGAACACTCTGTAAACGTCTACTAAATCCATTCATTCACAGATTTGTTTGAGATTCCCTCTTACTGCAAAAAGAATGGCTATCACCAAGAAATCAACCAACAACAAATGCTGGAGGGGCTGCAGGGTAAAAGGAACTCTTCTCCACTGTTGGTGGGCGTGTAGACTGATGCAACTGCTGTGGAAATCGGTCTGGAGATTCCTCAGTAAACTAGGATTAGATGTCCCATTCAATACAGCTGTTCTCCTTCTAGATATTTTTCCAGAACTAAAAACATCATTCCACAACAATATATGTGCACCCTTGTTTATAGCAGCACAATTTGTAATAGCTAGATCATGGATACAACCTATGCCCATCAACTGAGGTATAGATAAAAAAAAAAAAAAGACAGGTGTGGTGGCACACTCCTGTAATCCCATCACTAGGAAGACTGATGCAGAAGGATCATTGTGAGTTTGAGGCCAGCCTGGACTGCATAGTGAGATCCTGTCTCAAAAAGACAAAAAAAAAAAAAGTCGTGATATTTTTGTATAATGGAATAGTACTCAGCTATAAAGAAAGATAAACTTGAGACTTTTATAAGTAAATGGTCACCACTAGAGACCACACTCTCAAGTGAAATAAATCAGACTCACATGTGTAAACATCATATTGTCTCCCTAGTATAAGAACCTGAAAGAGTAAATGAAATCTAAAAGATACAGTAGATAGTGAGAAAGGGAAAGAAACTGCTCAAAAGGAAAGAATGACTGGGATGAGGGAAAGGAGAAAATAAAAAAGAAAAGGAAATATATATATATATGTGTGTGTGTGTGTGTGTGTGTGTATACAAGATGGTTGAGATAACTGTACTATTAATTTCTATTGCTTTCTTGAAAAGAAGAGTTGATATTTAATTGTTTGATCATTCTTGCATGTCTGTATTTGCTTATCTGAGTAACAAATATGAAAATAATAGTATGTAATTCAACAACCATTGTTAATTTCTTTTCACTCTGTCTAAAATTCTGTATTGTTTTTATTGTTTTTGTGTTGTTTCATTTATATCTGTGTGTTTGTTAAAGTTTTGGTTCTTTTATCTCTAAAAATAAAATTTAAAAAAAGAACCAGATCTCCCTCAAAAGGTACCACAGCCATCCTCAGCAACAAGGTCCCGAGCTCCTCCAACAATAACAGCCAAGTCCATATCAGGAAAGCCAGCGTAACAACCTTCTTCAGGACATTGAACAGTGCACCATCTTCCCTTCTGGAGCCAGGAAATGATGCTCAAACTGAGGGCCAGAGCTCAAAGTGAACCGTAGCCATTCTCAGTGACAAGGTAGGTCCCGAGCTCCTCCGACGATGACAAGAGCCGAGTTCATCAGGAAAGCCAACATGACAAGCTCCTCCAGGAAAACTAACAGATCTCTATAGCTTCTAAACTTCTTCCTGTCCAGGTCTGCCTCTTATGCTGCTGGCAACAATCCTCAGGTGGGCCTCCCACACCCAGCACCATGCTTCCTCAGTTCAGCTGGGTGTGACAAGTTGACCACCAGTTGTCAACCCACCACAGTGACCATGTACTGCCTAGTACTTTAAAACAAAATAGTGTAACAACAACAAATATACATACCCTGTATGTATGCGTCTGGAAGTACTGAGCCAAGGGTTGGGATCCAGGATGTGACTAGTAGAGAATCCGAACCAGTCTGCTATAGTTCACCCACGCTCAGGTGACAAGGACCAATAACAGTTTGGCCAGCTGAGATTTGACAGATGCACTAACCCAGATGTAATAGAAAAGGCCAATATATATACACAAGAAAATGAGTTCCATCTCCTACATCTTTATATTAATCAAGACCTGTACACATATCTGAGTAGAATATGAGAAAAATAAATATAATTAACCCCTCCAAAGATCAGAGTTAAACTATATCTAAGTATAACCATCAGGATATGGAAAAATATCAGCAACTTTTTCCCTAAGCTTAAGACAAGCCAATCTTCTTATAGCCCTAAGAGCAGTTTGGGGGACTCCTCTAAACACTGAACTCTCACTTTCTGCTCATATTTGCCAGAAATTTTTTATTTAAATTTCCCAACACAAAGCAGTAGTCTTCCCCTACCCCAGGCCATGGTTTCTGTTCATATTAAGAGCTCTTCAATTTTACACTCTAGGACACCCTCATCATTCCCCCGCAAAACTTGGGCAGCTATACCTCTCCTTTAACTGCACAATGATATGTAAGAAAATAGAAGGAAACTGTGGAAGAGAAAAGAAATTCAAATAGCAAACAGTAAGGATTACCTGTCTGGCAATGATCTGAACAGACCATCCAATTGAGACTTGCTGGGAAGCAGTAGATGACTTCACGGTGCCTAAGATCTCTTCCAGTTCTAGAACTGCATTATTTAGCAGTGATCTGGTGCACGAGGTGTGGTAGAAGGAAGCACTTTGTCTGTAACAGAATACAAAAAGCAGATTGAAGCTGTGAAGGAAGTGGACTACTACAGTAATCCCAGTTCCCCAAGGAATGTCCTTGTTATAGCATCAGAAGACTGACATTCAGGGAAGCCCCACAGTCACAGGCATGTGCCAGAATGCTTGGTGTCCCTCCTTCTGGGATCGGACAAACACTGGCTTCATTGGGTATCTATACAAATTAATTAACTAAGCCTCCAGAACCTTTGAACTAATGACACTCATTTCTGCCGTGTCCCTCAGCCCCATTTAAGCATATTCTCATTTCCACCACACAGGCGCTAACCCTACGGGGTCCTTCATATTGGACATTGGGAGCAGCTGTGTATAGTGAAACCCTGGGTCCACAGAAATATTTAAGAAAAAGTTACTTATTCTCAATATTAACTCTAAAATGGAAAGCCTTCCAAGATAAAGAATCCCCCTTCCTTGGTGGCTTTTCTGACTATATAAGAAACACATTACCCAAATCCTAATCAACTTGGAGGCTCACATGTGGCAATATTGCATTAGTGCTCCTTTCAGGAAGTACAATTCAACAATTCAGGTTGCTCAGCGGCCATCCTATTATTTCCTTGCTTCTTTCCAAAAGCAGCAAAGGGAACACAAACATGTGATCTACACAGAACTTTCTTCTTTCCCTTCATCTGCTCCTCTCTGTCTTAATGTCTTTCTCTAGCACCCTATGCGTCCCCAGAGAATCCCTTCCCCACCCCCGGGCTGTGTGGTTTTCCTTCCTTCCTCTCCTCTCTCCACTGTCAACATACTCCCAGTCTCCCATGAAGACCAAGCTCCTCTTCATCAAGAGGACAGAGGAGAGGAGAGATTAGGTTGGTAATTACAGAATTCTTCTTGATGGATTAGGCAACAAGAATCTGAGGACGTTCCCATGTTCACTTTCTTTCTTTCTTTCTTTTTTATTTTAAAGAGAGTTTTAAAGAGAAATAACAACATCGACAAAAACAAAACAAAGCAAAAACGATGTCCGTGTTCATTATTCTTGTTCCGCGGCACTCACAAAGTTGCTGTGTCTGTCACAGTGGCTCACAGTTTGGTGACGCTGATCACTATGGAATTCATGAGCCAAATCTCCTAATTTTAATCAGTGAGAAAACCAACAGAGACATCAAATGACTTACCCAAGTTTGCAAAGCGTCCTTTGCATTGCTCTATGTTATGACTTTAAATCCTGTGATTTGGGCTCATGAAAAGGAGTAATGGTCAGTGTCCTCCAGCTGGAGACCACCAGAAATACACCCGTAATTGAAAAGCTGGGTTTCTTATGTGTTGCAGAGAGGAACCCTGGACTGTCTCAATGAGAAAGTGTATAAAAGCACTTATGCAATGAACTCTGGTAGATGATTTGAGAGTGTGCTGAGGGACGTGGGCGTGGTCTTGATTGAATGCTATCAAGAAATGGGGTTATTTCTATGACTTAATAACTCTCACCTAGGAAGAGGAAAAATGTCATTGGTAAAAAATCAGAAGTAACTCCTGTTAGCCAGAATAAAGGGATGCCTGGTCATTTTTGTGGAATGGACAATGTCCCTATTTTATGTATGTTCAAACATGATTGTGCAGTAGTCTTGTTTCTTTCTTAATCTTCATCATCACGGAGTGGCCTTGTCTGATGGCAATGTTCCATGAAAATGTTTTATTTCAACAGGAGAATGCCGAGTCTACTCTAGGTCAGTCCAGCTCTGGACACTGGAGGACTGCTTTTCTCTTTCTCGTAATAAAACTACCATCTTTTGAGTACTTTTAGCATCTCAGGATTATTTTGATCTTCACCATCAACCTAGGAGGTAGATGCTACTATGATTTTCATTCTCACATGAAGAAACAAAAGCTTTGTGGGGTCAGTTGTTTACCCAAGGTCCCACAGCTAGTAAATGGCAGCACTGTGGCTCAAAACTGGGCAGTCTTTCTCCAGGGTCTCCTCTCTGATCTGCCCCCTGCAATGAGGCCAGGAGTGAACTGGGATCCTGGAAATGGGGTGGAGCTCATCTACAGAGATATGGGACAATTTTGCAGTAAATACAATGGGGAGGATGAAAGTACTCAAGAACTTAAGACAGTAATGAGTGACTGCATCATGAGCACTCGGGTCGGAAAAGGAAAAAATGTGGAAAAAACTGCAGGGCATGGTGGTATACGCCTTAATCCCAGCACTCAGGAGGCTGAGGCAGGAGGATCACTGCAAGATCAAGGCCAACCTCAGCTACAAAGTGAGCTTAAGACCAGCCTGAACTGTGAAGTGAGGCCTTGTCTCAAAAAGACAAAAAGAAGGGCTGGGAATTTAGCTCAGCGGCAAAAGCGCCTGCCTGGCAAGCGCAAGGTCATGAGTTCGGTTCCCAACCAAAAAAGAAAAAAAGCAACTGTGACACTTTGATCATAAACTCCGTCTAATAAAAGGAAAGATGAGTTATTGTTCCTTAACTAAAGAATGACTTTATGGTTTAGAATATTTTTCACTCTCTGTTTTCTGTGTAAATTTAAATCAACAGAGAGCAGAAGGAAAAATCAGCAGCAACTCCTCCGGCATAGCCAGTCAAACCATGTCAGTGTAGTCAAATGGTAAAGCAAAACTGTTCAGGGCTTTGTGAAGGAGGCTGCCCTCATTAGGCAGTACCAACAACTTAATCATTATGATCAGAAGAGAAATCTGTCATTAATACCTTTATAAATGCACTCATTTTTCAGAATCAGCTTTGGAGTGAAATGATAGAATGAAACTCAAATTAGCAGACAAAGGCCTTCGTCCAACCGTTCCCACATCCCAATCCCAGCTCCTCCTGGCTTCAGTGGGTGTTCCAGGCACAGAGAAAGAACAGGTGCTGGACATCGATCTACTTGTAGTATTAGAAAGAATTCTTCTCTCCGTAACTTCCGAGGCAGCCAAAATCCTAGCATTGCAGCAGCATTCCATCCTGAGCTCACCTTCCCAAATCCAAATGACAAAGCACACTTCTTTCTCAAACTGAGGAAAAATAGAGGTCTTTCAGGTGCGGGATGACAGTGCCAAGAAGGTAATTGGACCTAAAAGTAAAAGAAAGAAAAAAATTGGAATGCAAAAGGTTGCTAGTTCAGCTATGGTAACCTTTTCACCAATCTGTCCTTGTCAAACAAACTCATGCTTCAGGAATTAAAATTTCAACAAGTTAGGGTGCTTCTACTACATGACAGGCACTGTGCTAAGCTCTAGGAATAAAAAGTCCACTAAGATGTCATCACCGCCCTCAAAAAGTTCTATGTAGATCGTGTCTCTGCTGTTGTTTGCACAAAACCTTGGATAGTGCTTGAAAGCTGTTTCCTGTCAATGAAGATTACAAGGATAATATTGACCATGATCATGATGTTAGGGAGCATAGCTGTCATCAAGTATAAGTAGCAGATACAAGAAAAAAAAAACTAGTCCATGTTGTTTACCTATTTTGGAGGAAAGACTGGTCTGGGCTATGAAAAGAGTCTCCTCCTGCCAGGAAGGCCTGGGGGTCCTACGGTCTCACCACGAATTAGTAGAAAGTCCCAGGCCATCCTTTGGTTCCTCCAGGCCTCAGAAATAACTGAAGGACAGTCAAGATTTGACCTGCAAAGTGGGCTAAAAACTGGCCTAGAGAATAACACAGGACAAACAGCTACCAAGGTGAGTACATTCTGCTAACACTCTGGGTGGCATTCCTAGGGAAAGCATTGTACATCCCATGAGTTCGTGGCTATGCAATCACTTCACGGTCCTGGCTGTGCCTCCGGGAGGACAGCATCATGTGAAAACCACATGAGCTTGTACCAACTCATCCTCCTCAGCACAAGGACTTAAGAAAGACATGTCTATATGGGAAGTTACCTAACTGTCACTAACTGAAGCAGCTCGTTTCATTTCCAAACATGAGTGAGCATGGTGTGGGTGCAGAGTTGCAGGGTTAAGTGATCGAAACATGGATAATTTCCTAGGTTGTGGTTTTGTTCTGTCTTGGTTTGGTTTTAAGCCCTGAGGGTTAAACGCAGGGCTTCACACATGCTAAGCAGGCGCTCTCCTGCTGAGCTATATCCCCAGCCCCCAGTTTCTGTCTAGGAATAAGTACCAATCATCGGCTTTGGGACAGATTCTTACAGATGCGTTTAGCTGTCCCGGACCTAATCTGCAACACTGTGCCCTCTAGTCTCCTGGGCCACCTCGTACCATCGTGACCCCGGATGACATCCAGCCTAGTCACCTCGCTTTTTCCTTTCCCAGCCAGCCCATCTCATGCAAACTTCCAGCACTCTTAGCCAAATCCTAGATTCTACGTCTACCTACCCCATTTCTAGATAAATGCAATAATTTCATTTTTGCTGTTGTGACCACTGTTGAACCACAAAGAGAGGGTGGATGCGGTTGACACTGTTTTGCACAGCACATAGGAGGGAGAGACATGGATCAAATCGGGCATTCTTAGCCCCAGTGATAAAGAAAAGCAGATGGATCTCTACTGGAACACTGAGATCAGAACAAAAACCTCCCTGGCAAACCTCTCTTATCAACCAAAAGGAGCCAACAAGAAACTAACATTTATTGAGCACCTACTACCTGCCTGGTACTCCGTTATGCATTTCATATCATCTACTTATCTTCACATCAGTCTGGCAAAATCAGTATTATTATACTTAATAAATTCTACAAAATATTTCAGACTCAAAGACAGTTGAGCCCAAGGTTACCCAACTAGAAAGTAAAGAACTAGGCTTGAAGCCCACGTCTGGATGGTCACAGCTTCTCACTTCAGAGGGGGGTTCTTAAAGGAGAACACTGTCCCCCAAGGTCCTGGTCAAGGAAGTCAACAAATCTCACTTCCTTCTTCTATAAACCCAACACGGGAGCACATGTATTCTAACCCCTTAGACTATCTAAATACATTTGTGATTTTCATTAAAGCAAAATAGCAATTATGTACTTGAAATATTTATAAAATAAGTCAACTACATTTGAGGGAAACTGTAAAAGCATTGCAATTAAACAGATCTGTGCACACTGCGGGGTGTTTTTCTAACAAAAGGAGTAAGGAATAATGCTGCTAATAAAAACAATGATGATCTTGTTTAAATGTTCTAATACTCATTTAACACTGTTCTGAGTGGAACTGTAGATTAGTAGTTTCAAATAAAATCTTTGATGAAAGATTAAATATATCTTCTCATTCTCCTCTGCAAAGCTGGTGATTCAAGTGGGCTAATTTGTTCTCTTTCTTCTAGCGAAATGTTTTAAGTGATCTATAAATGTTTTTCTTCTATTCATGTTGTAAGAGGAGCCAAGGGGAGTGATGATGAACAAGGGGTTATACCGATGCACTAAAAAGTAAAGGGTCCCTGCCGCTAGCACCCCACACATACAATACCCACACTGACTCCTCATGGGAGTGCCCAATAAAAAATAAGCACATCTTGAATCTCAAAATAAATGTTCAAAAATAATAAATATTAATTCAGGAAACTATGTTAAACAGAAACTAATCCCAAACAATTTCCTGGTCACCTTTTAAAAAATCATGCCGCCGGGCATGATGGCTCCTGCCTGTAATCCCAGCACTCAGGAGGCCGAGGCAGGAGGATCGTTGCAAGTTCAAGACGAGCCTGGGCTACAAAGTGAGCTCAAGCCAGCCTCAATTGCATAGCAAGATCCTGTCTCAGAAAAACAAAACAAAAAAAATAAATAAAAATAAAAAATAAAAAAATCATGCTAATTAATCAAGTGTAGGGGTTTTTAATTTTCTATTTTAGAAAGGAGAAATTACACACATACATACAGACTACAGTATACATATATACTAAGTGTAGACCCAAATATAAATATATATACATATATATATGTATATATATATATATTTCTTCAAGGAAAAAATAAGACTGGCTGATCAATTGTAAACTTGTTGCCGAACCCCCGTACCAGAGCTGGAAGGCAAGGGATCTCTCCCAAAGCATCAGCCCAGAGCTGGCTTTGGGCTTAGTTTATATAGGTTTTGCAAGCAGGGATACAAAAGATTAAAAGCGTGGTGAATTTTTACTGGGCAGCATCAGTTATTTTTTGTTGCTGAGCAGAAAGTCTTTGAAACAAGTTAGCAAACAGGGCATGTTCAGGGGCTGGAAAGTACAGGCTGTGCAGTGGGGTACGGTCAAACTGAGCTGGGTCAAGTTATCTCTGGAGTAGTCAGTCAAGGTTGAGTGAGTCAAACAGACTAGCTACGTGGTGGGTTGCATGATCTTGTTTTGTCCTAATATGGTGTCTCACTACTAGTTGATTTTTAATTTTTTTTAAATTTCCATCACAAGCTGAAAATTTTCTCTCTTGCACTTCAAACTTAACAATATACAGTATCTGTAATGTTCCTAAGCCAGTGTAGGGAAATGTAAGCTACCCAGTTTTAGTGTATTGTGGGGTGTAGGACAGAGAGGTTGTTTTTGTTAAAAATCAAGATAACCACTCTGTAAAATGGTTAACCTCAAGGAACAAACACACACTTAGCCAACAGGTCAGACTGGTCATTTAAAGCTATTCCTGGTGGCGCACACCTGTAATCCCAGCACTCGGGAGGCTGAGAAAGGAGGATCCTTGCAAGTTCGAGACAAGCCTGGGCTACAAAGTGAGCTCAAGTCCAGCCTTAACTCTATAGTGAGACCCTAACTCAAAAAAAAAAAAAAAAAAAAAAAAAAAGACTGGTCATTTAAAAAGACATCTGCTTAGAAGATACTATGGGATATGGAGACCTTCAGCTGAGAAGATGTACTGAAACTCTAAGGTAACACAAAATATCCAGAGTAGTTAATCATACTCTCTAAGGGTAATTGTTTGCCCCCTCAACTTCTAGGCTGAGAACATAAAAGTACTTATTGCTTCTTATTACCTCAGGTTCCAGTATTAGGTCTCCATTAAATATTGGTTGAGTGGAATGAGTGAATCTTCTCAGCAGCATTCAGCCTAAAGTAATTTTTACATGAGTTTGCATATTTCTGATGTTTTCCCCATGAGATATAACTGGGCAAAATTCTAATTGTGAAAAAGCTGGTTAAGTTTAATTTCAGGAACCCCCCAAACCAATTATGACTTAAAGTATGCTGATCTGAGCTCAGAGAGATGAACCTCAAGGCAGACCACAAATCACACATTTTCTATGGGGAAGGTTCGAGTCTGATGAAGTCAATACTGATTGCAAAATTCCCAGAGAGAAAAACTACATCTTGGACAAACACAGGGATTATAGGTACTCTATTGCATGTTTAGGTGACCTAAAAACCTGCACTCATCAAAGATGTGTAAAACCACTTGAACAGTGCAGAATGATCCACAAACAAGGTGCCAAGAACGTCTACCCAGAAGAGATATCTCCCTCCCTGGACAGTCAAACCAAAGAAAGACTCCAGCTCTTTAGAACAACCAGGTTCTTGTCTGGTCGTAGAGGGATAAACTGAGGCTGCCTCCTGATAAAAAAGGAACTATATGTATGCTCATCAACTTCTAAAACAATTCAGTCAGGATTCCTGTCCTACCTCCAGGTTAAGGTACCTCTGCTTCCCAAGCCTACCTGTTCTAATACTTGTGTTTGCCTCCTTTGACCTATCAGCTGCTTCTAGCATACCCAGCTCGGTCTTGACTACCTTTCTGATTCTGACTCCTACAACTTCTTCTCTCAGATAGGAGTCCCAGCCCATGCTCAGATTCACTCACCTGGTTCTTGGAGCTCAACCCAAGAAAGAACATGCCATTGCAGACCAAGCTGAGAGCAGGTGCTATGTGGGTGATCTGAGAACAGAAATAAAAGGTGTATCGGACCTTACGATATCCGAGATCACTCGGATTTGCACCTTTACATCTTTTACTGTAGTTTTTTACTTGAGGTTGATGAGATTTCTCATGTGGGATGGAACTGGAAGAAGGGGTAATTAGGGTTATCATATTCACTTCAAACACAAATACACACAGTTTCCTTGCAAATGAAAAGCATGATCACATGATTCAAGTCTGTTCCAAAATTCATCAGTTTCTATGATTTCTCCTTAGTTCCTTATGATTCCAAATTCTATATAAAGTCAACCTACCATTTTGTAATACACTCTTCTAATTTTGGGGTGGTTGAATTTCACCCCAACTAAAGATAGAGCAAAACAAATAGGTTCATATTACAGCAAGTGTGATTTAGAGTTAGATGACTTACAAAAAGTTATTGATGGTGAGAACTTGGACCATAGCATGTCTGAGTGGACGGGAAGAGGGTCCCAGTTCTGAGGAGCTGGATGGGTTTTATCACATACTGTCACATGAATAAAGCTATTTGACCTCTCTGGATTCAAGTGTTGAAAACTTAAAGTGAGATAGTATAGGAAAAGCACTTTGTGCATCAAAAATCATGCTTTTAAAAATAATGTTATTATTTTCATGGCATGAGTCCAGCATGATAAAAAATTCAAATTATAATTTTTCATTATTGACATACAAGTAATCTGAGATTTCACTTACAGGAAAAGACTTCAATGATTAAGAATATAAGAACTTGCTGGGTGTGGTAGCACACGCCTATAATCCCAGCACTTGGGAGGCTGAAGCAAGAGGGTCATTGCTAGTTTGAGGCCAACCTGAGCTACAAAGTGAGTTCAAGGCCAGCCCGAACTGCAAAAAGACCAAAAAAAAAAAAAAAAAAAAAA